TTCTTGAGAGGGTAGAATAAGGCTGCAGAAGATGAGCCCCCAGAGCCCAGGGCCTGAGGATAGGGGAGAGGGTGAGGGTTCTTAGGGGCCTGTAAGGAGAAGCCAGCTGGGGGTTGTCATGGAGACTGGGGGTTGTCATGGAGACACAGGATACCAAACACACACACACACACACACACACACACACACACACACACACACACACCGTGGATGCCTGCTTAGTCCTTTAGCATTTATAAAATACACACCCACATCCATTACCTCTATGACCCTTTCATTCCACAAACACGCAGGGGCCCAGGACCACGGGGGCAAACAGTACGTGAGACATCTCCGGCTTCCAGGAGACTCCCTGGGAAGAGAAAGGGCAGCGGTGTGGTCAGTGCTTGGACTGGGCAGGCTGGGGCATGACCTGGAGTAGGGGCAGCTTGGAGGGAGAGAGAGACAGGGAGACAGGCTGAGAGACAGAGAGACAGAGAGGTCTGGAGTGTGGTGTTTGAAGGGGGTTGGCAGGTAGAGGTGGGGCAGAGTCAGATTCCATTAGGGCCACTCTAGGAGGTAGTTCCTTATCCTGAGGGTGCAGGGAGTCATGGGAGAAGAGGCACACTGTCGGATTTGCGTGCAGACCACCACTTGGGGTGGAGGAGAGTGACTTGGAGGAGGCAGGACTGGCAGGAGGCCCAGTTAAGAAGCCACAGCAGCTGTTGAGGGGTGGTGGTGGGGGAGGCCCTGGTGTCACAGACTGGGGACATCCCAGTGGATCACCGCCCTACTTTCCCCCTGAGGAAACGGAGGATTTCACAGGTAAGGCAATTGCCCAAATTCATCAGCTTTTTTCACCTCCCTGAGCTGCCTTTCAGGCCCCAAAACAGTGAGCACTCCTGAACGCTTCATACGTGCCAGTTCTGAGTGCGTAACATGCTGAATTCATTTAATCTTCCCAAGAACCTCAGAGGTAGATGCTCTTATTATTATTCAGATGAGGAAACTGCTGCACGGAGAGGTTACGTAACATGCCTAAGATCACATAGCTGGCCAGTGGCAAAGTCTGGATTATCATCAGGCAGCTGCAGCCAGAGGTGGCCAGAACGTTTAAGGCCCCTGAAATGTGCGTGGGGGACGGGAGAGGTGAAGGGATGTATGTGCACGTCCTCCAGAGCACCGGAGGAATCTGTGCCCAGACAGAGGAAGCACCCAGACCGGAAATCCCGAGAGCTAAGCTTTAGGTTCAGCTCTGCCCTAAACTTGCTGTGTGACCTTGGGCTACTCACACCCCTCTCTGGGCCTAGAGTTTTCTCACATGAGGCATAAACACAGATCTGCAGAGTCCCCTCTCCTAGCTATGCTTCTCCCACTCCTAGATTAACCCCTCCACTCCCACACCCCAGACACTCCAGGAGACTAAGGCGGGGGGCAGGGCTGGAGATGGGGTGCACTGTGGAATGGAGAGGAGGTGATGGGCTAATCCTTCTCCAAAAACCTAGTCAATTGCAGAATATCCTGCCTCCCCCCCCCTCCCCCCCACTCTAGGCCTGAGTTTGCGTTTGGGGCAGTAAGCCCCACCCACATTGCTTCCCAGAGCCTGCAGGGACCGGGCTCCCACAACACTCCCGAGGCCAGGCCTTGCTTAGAAAGTGTCTCCTTCGGAGCCCTAGTCACCAGCTATGTGGGTGCTACCAGGGGCACCAAGCCTGGGCGAGGGGGAAGGAGGGCAGGTCCTGCCACCACTTGTGACAGTAACTCAGCCTCTCCTGTCTGGGACTCGGTTTCCCCATCTGTAACCTGAGGGGCTGGAACTGGATTCTCAGACCCCCATGAAGAAAGGCAGCCACAGGGCCTCTCCCTGACACTGAGGCCCCCCACAGACCCCAGGGAGGTCCCCTGCCTCAAAGCAGGGCAGGTCTGGGAGGCAAAATAGCTGTGAGGTTGATGGCTCTGGGTCCCCTGAGGTTAGCCCTGCAGCGCAGACTGTCCCCAAGGGACAGGCCACCCCAGCAGAGCCAACCACAGCGAGCACATAGGAGCCCAAATGACAGCAACTGAGCATCAGTTTCTCCATCTGAAAAGGGGGAATAACTGAGAACACTGCACAGAGGTCCTTGTGAAGATTAGGTGCATAAAAGACCCTTAGCACATAGGAAGGGCTCACAAACGGTTAGTGTCATTAATTATCGACTTGAAAAGAGAAAATAATTCAGGGACTCCTAGCCCATCCCCAAGTAGCACAGCCCAGCTCTGCTCAGACTCGAGGACCAAGGCCTGGGAGGTGCAGAACAGCAGAGGGAGTTGCGCCTCCCAGGAGGGCCAGGCCCAAGGGTGGCAGAGGGAAGGAGTGAAAGGAGTCTAGGCTGGCAGGGGAACCAGGACAGTTTTCCATGATACAGTGTGGTCCAAGAGGCTTACCTCTAGAGGGAAACAATGTCATCTGCCTGGTGGGCACCTCTGAGAATCTGGGAGATGGGGAAGGGATGTCACCATCTGGTCTGCATGAAGTAGACCCTGTGGCGGGAAGCAGGAAACCTGCTCACATCCCAGCATCCATGATCATCTGGCTTGAGATAAGCACTTCTTCACTTCAAGCCTCAGCTTCCTCGTCTATAAAATGGGAGTGTTAGGCTCCGTCCCTCTTGCTCTCGGATGAAGGGGAGTTATCACTTCCATGCCGAGGCATTGGGTGTGCCTGGCTGCTGCCTTGAAGGGTAAGGAGTCTCTGTCAGGAGACTGGCATTAATGGGCACCGTCGTAATGAGCCAGAAAGGGTTCAGGGCTCAGGTGACCCATTCCTGCCTGCAGCCTGGCCCTCCTCTGGGAAATCCCTTTAGTTTAGCTCGCATCAGCTCACTGGCCCACTCAGAAACCAGCCCATCTGCCTCCTGAAGCCAACTATTCTCCTCATCCTAGCATCTGTGGGCCCCCAGCCTCCCTTCCAGCCCTGGCCCTGTATTAGTAACAGATAGGCACTAATGATGAACCAGGTACGATGTGATGTGCTTGATTCTTCCAATTCACACCTACTTCTCAGGTGGGAATAATTTTATCCCCTGAACACCGAGGCACCTTAAGAAGTCTCTGAAGCCACTCTGTATATCAGGGGTCCTCAAACTACGGCCTGCGGGCCACGTGCAAATACAAATATTGTATTTGTTCCCGTTTTGTTTTTTTACTTCAAAATAAGATATGTGCAGTGTGCATAGGAATTTGTTCAAACTATAGTCCGGCCCTCCAACGGTCTGTGGGACAGTGAACTGGCCCCCTGTTTAAAAAGTTTGAGGACCCCCGCTGTAAATGGTAGAGCTGGAATTGGAATGCAGGCACAAGGACCAAGGCCTGGGAGGTGCAGTGTCTGAAGACTCCCCTCTCCTGCCTCATCTACACAGTGGATGCCTCCTGGTTTCTGCCACTCCTATGGTATTGCCCCTTTGCTCCTGCCCCCTCTGCCACTCCTAGCCCGTCAAGGATCAGAGGTGAAGCACTGAGTCTTCCTGGGAGAAGCACCGAGTCTTCCTGGGAGGCCCCCGCTCCCTTCCCTCCGCACTCCCACGGATCTGGCTCCTTATTCGGTCTTCCTGGGGCCTCCATGGACCCCACACTGAGGATACCCCAGTGAGGCAGGCATCCCAGAGGCGCATCTTCAGGGCAGGGTTCAGTGAGGTGCCTGGCCTGTCCGGCTGTCAGCAGTGAACAGGTACTCCGGGTCCTTCGTATAGGGACAGGAGTAACGGGTGGGGAGTCTACTGGCAAATCACTTCACGAAACAAAGTGAAATGGTCCTTTTTTTGGACACAGTGGCTATGATCCCCACCTCTTGGCATTCACACTCTTGTGTAGTCTCTTCCACGTTAGCAAGAATGGCTTGTGTGATCAACAGAATGTGCAGGAGTGACGGGATGTCACTTCCGAGATAAGGTTGTAAGAGGTGACAGCTTTGCTCTTGGTCTCTTTTGGACCATGTGCTCTGGGGGAAGCCATGTCATGAGTGGCCAAATGCAGAGGCTTCCATGGTGAGGCACTGAGGCCTCCAGCCAACAGCCCCGGGAATAAGCTTGGAAATGGGTCCTGCAGCCCCCACCAAACCTCGGATTACTGCAACCTCATGGAACCCTGAACCAGAACCACCCAGCTAAGCTGCTCCCACATTCCTGAAGCAGAAACAGTATGAGATAATAAATGTTAGCTGTTTCAAGCTGCAAAGTTTTAGGATAATTTATGATGCAGCAACAGAGAAGCCACAGGACTTCTCAGAGCATTTGCTATGCTGATGTAAATCTCTGTATCACGTTGACATTCCCCTTCGCTATTTGGCCAAGGAGGCTTTCCTTTCTGAATTTTCTTCATCAGAGAAAACTGATGTAATATGGCTCTGGTCCTACAGTGAGATGCAACTTCTAACCTAGATCTGCCTCATGAGTGAGCCACTGACCCTTCCAGAACCTCAACTCTTCCCTGTTAGAGTAAAAAACCACCTGCCTTTGCATAACTCATGAATGTAGCCTCAGATGGGCCGATGCTGAGCTACTCAGAGTGGGTGGGAGGGCGGCCTGGGGAGGCCCTAAGAGGAGCGTCACCCTGGGTTCTGCGTGGTGGTAGGTGAGCCTACGGCCCACCGCCTGCTTTTCCCTCTGAGTGAGATGCAGTGTTTTCTTCTAGCCTGTGCATGGCTCAGAGACGGGAGGCGTGGGCCTGAGTCTCCACCATCAGACTGGAAGTTCCTCTAGGCCAGAGCAGGAGCCTCCATCATCAGTCTGGGATGGGGCCCAAATACTCTCCCCTTTCCCTCCTCCTCCCATCCTGTGGACACACCACAGCCGTGGGTAAGAAGGAACAGCAGAACTCATGTGCTCTTAAGAGTAAACATGCCCTTCCTCCCTTTTTAGTTTATTCCCTCTACTCTGTATCTGGTAAAGGGATCAAATTTCAGGATGTCCGATGGGTCAGAAACCCACTAATACCATGCATGTCCCTCTTTGTTAAAAAGAAGACAGTTTTTAAAAAAAAAAACCTAGAATGCGAATACTTTATTATCAATGAGTGACTGGTTTAGCATTTTGTCTGGGCATTAATATTTCAAAAACCATACACCAAACCCAGGCTTTTCCACCTAGCTCTGCTGTATCATTTTCTTAAAAAAAAAAAAAAGGAGAGGGAGGAGGAAAAGAAAGAAAATATATCTGTATTGAAAGAATTATAAGCCAAAGTGCGTCTTTCTTGTTTTGTCCATATACACACATTGCACCATACATAAATAATTACATTGTAAAAATGACTCCATAATTACAAGTATAATATATATTTCCATATAATATATAAAACTTTATATTAAATCTAGGTAGATGATATTTGGGGGGTTTCGTCCGTGGGGGCTGTGTCTCTGGCACTGGCCCTCCTGGCGGTGGGCAGGTCGGCCGGGCCTCGCGGCTGCCGCTATCTGTGGTTGTTGAGCAGGATCTCCAGCCAGCAGGGACAGGAGGTGATGAACTGCCGGGAGTAGCAGGGCCCCCAGCCCTTGGCGAAGCTGATGCGGACGCTGTTGGGGTCGTAGGGGCCGTCGGCGGCGTCGGGCTCGGGCCCGTGCTGGAGCAGGCCCGAGCGCTCGAAGTCGAACACCTTGATGGAATAGCCCGGTGGCACCTTGCGCACGACGAGGGCGCGGCCGCCGGGCGCATCCAGCGTCGGGGAGTTGACGAAGATGGGGTGCTCGCCGCGGTTGTAGGCCCACACGCCGTCAGGCTCCTTGCTGAGCAGGATGCCGAAGCCGATCTTGCTGCGCGTCCGCCGCACCGACTCGCTGCGCTGATCCAGGTTGAGCTGGCCCAGGCAGAAGCCGCTGCCCTGAGGTAGGTCGTAGAAGATGCTGACGGCCTGGTCGTACACCGCGTAGAGGCGGCCCACACGCGTTCGGTGCTCCCAGTATGCCACGCTGCACCAGTGGCTCGGCTTGGTGGCATCTGGAGACATGCTGGCGTCTGCGGGGCAAGCACAGGGCACAGGGTGTTAGTGATTCAGGCTGGGGAAGCGGGTGGCAGAGGGGAGCAGCGGTGGCACTCCTGCCTGGACGGTGGGGGTTGGGTAGTGTCTCTAGCAGTCAACACAGACGTCAGGAAATAGTGTGCGCCAGGCTGTCCTCAGGAAATGTAACACACAGGAGGGCACCCCCCCCATCACCCAACACACACACACACACACACACACACACACACACTCTCTCTCACTAACTCAGAGTAAAAACCGAGGTTATGAATGTACAGAGAAGGCAAGGCACCTACTGTGTGCTAGGTGTTGTGGAAACACAAACATGAACCACACCCAACTCCTGGCCATAAAATTTCTCAAGCTGGCAAGAGGTGGAAAAACACCCATGCACCCAAAGGAGGGGCTGGACCTTGAGCGCCTGCAGTGTGCACGTGACCTCAGAGAGTCCTCCAATCACTCTATGAGGAGGCCATCTTCTCCTCCTTTTACAGAAGGATCCAAGACTGCAGGCACCAGCGGCCTGCCCACGGCCACACAGGTAGTGAGTGGCATGGCCAGGATTTGAACCTAGTCAGTCCAAGCCTCCGCCTGAACAGAGCAGGGTTAAGTATTAGAGGGCATAGTCACCACTCAGGGGACTCAGGCAGAGGAGATGGGGGGGCGGGGGGGAGTTGGCCCCCAGGGTCCCTTCTAGCCCAGAATGGGAATTGCCCGACTGCTCCCAGCCTGGCCCTTGGGCAGTGTGCCCAGTTCCCCCAGTGCCCGCTGCACCCTGCCACTAGAGTTGGCTCTCTGGCAGAAAGTGCAGGTTGTCACCAGGACTGCAGCATCTCTGAGAAAGGGAAGGTGAAGGTCTCTAAAATGCTAGAGAAAGTCACTCCTCAAGGGCTCAGAGTCTGCCAGCTCTCATGGTTGTGTGCTGTGTCTCTCTGGGCCTCCGTTTCCCCACAGACAAAAAGGGGTGCCCTGGAGGATGACCGGCATCCTTTCTCCCTCCAGCCTGGGGCACCTCCGTGTGTCCAGGTGAATTTAAGTTTTCTGAGACCAGACCCCCCCTGCTGGGGCGTTTGCCCAGAGGGAGAATTCTGCTGGAGGCCTGATGAGAAAAACAGCAAAGGCGCCTGTGCTCCAAGAGATACTGATTAAAGTCCAACTAAACCTGAGAGAAAAAACCCTAACAACTTCATTGAGGAGCCTGCGTATGGTCAGCTCTGACCGTCAGCTCAGCCTTACCCACAAGCCCCAGAGCAGCAGGGCAACAGGCCCCCTGACACCTCCTCCTATGTGCTAGGAAGCCCACCTGGCTACCTGGCAGGAAACTGTCTGCCTGAGGGGCCTCCCATAACCTGCCAGCTCTGCTGTGGCCTTGGGCTGGGCACAGCCCCAAAGGGCACGCCCCTCATTCTATGAGTGGCTTCAGGTCCCAGCCATAGGTCCCCAGGCCAGCTCCTGAAGAGGCATCATTTTACCTCACATCCTCCGTCCAGGGCCCTCATGGTTCCAGCTGACTGTCATGTGGGGAAAGGAGAGGCCCTACTCCCTGCCCTCACTGACCTGCCCCTTAGCCGGTGGACAGAGACCACTCTATCCCATGGTGAATGACCAAGCTGTGGGCACTAGGTCAGTCCCAGCAGGTGGGCAGCCAGGAACACCCAAGCCTTTGCCCCTCTCCAACCATCCACCCACCCACCCATCTGGCACTGGTTGGGAGTTCCCAAGCACCACCCCAGCCTGGCCATCAGACTCCAGCACTAACCTTCTCACCAAGCAAAGAGAGTTAGCATAGTGCTCTCGGCAGAGAGAGATGAAGAAGCAAAGAAGCTATGCCTGGAGGGCTCTGGGCAATAGGAACCCCCGAGTGCCTTCCATGAGCTAGGTGCCTTCTGCACAACAGCCCTGGTTCACCTCTGTTATCACCCCATTTCACAGGTACAGAAACTGAGGCCCAGGGAGGTGCCCTAACAGCTCGAGGGCACACACTATTGCGTTCTATAGCCAGCATCAGTCCAGGCCATACTCCAGAAGGGAGTGCTTCTCCATACTCTGGGCAGACTGCCCCCTAAAACCCATGCACACTGAACAAGTCCCTCCCTTTCCCTAAGCCTCAGTCTCCCTATCTGTAACCATGACTATTCTCATGGTCTCTGTGTCCTAGAGGTGCTCACCCACAAGCCTATGAGTCACTCCCCTCTAACCCCCAAACAAAGGTCCTTCACTCCCTAAGGACTCACTGCAATCCCCCTTTCACAGATAAGGCTCAGAAAAAGCCACCTCCGCCCCCGGGTGTAGCTGCTCCACTGTACAAGAGAAAGAAGCAGGTTCACAGTCAGAGTGTGGGGAGTGAGGGTGAGGATAATGGGACTGGGGTGGGGGTGGGGTCCTCTCTCCCATCTCCCATAAGGCTTTCAATCCAAGGCCAGATGGGACTTCCTGTCCCCTCCTCCCACCAGCCAAGCCAAATGCCCCCTGATCATCTGCACCCTCTCCCTTCCCAATCAAGACCTATGTCCCTGGCTTTACCCCAGAGCCCCTCACGGGGATGGTGAAATGTGCTTGGGGACAAACCTCACAGAGCTGCCCTAGGGCCCAGCCTGCCCCTGCCCCAGCTCTCTGGCTCAGGGACACTGCCTGGGCCAGGTCTCACCTCCTGCAGACTCTTTGGTTGAACAGACTAGGTGACACCTCATCAGGCTTGGGCTCCTGGCCAAATCTTCCAAATTCCAGAAGATGGAGGAGGCCTCAGAAAAGCCCTCTCTGACCCCTCCCTCCTGTGCAATTACAGGCTCAGCCCCTCCCTTGGCCTGAGCAGGTGTCACTGCCCTTGGCTAGGCTAGACTCTCAAATGGGAAGGGGTGGGTCTCAGTTCTCTCGGTCTGTCCCAAGGCTGCATGTATCCCTACTGTGCTCTCAGAGCCACTAAAAGGGAAAGAAAATACATCTCAAATGTTGGCACACTGTCCTCGCCCCCATCAGAATCCTGCTCAGCAGGTGGGGCCCTGGCCTGGGCCAAAGGGGATGGTGGGCAAGGACTTAAGTTGCAGGTCTGATCTGAGAACAAGCCAACAGGTGAGCCAGCACCATGTTCTGGGGGAATCCCCATCCAGGTCTTGGGGACTCAGGGCTCCAGAGCTTGAGGACCCCGTGACAGCATCTCATCCAGGGAGCCCCAATACTTTGGGCTTTCACAAACCAATACACTGTGTAACAGAGAGGTTGGGAATGTCACAGGGTTACCACTGTTTTATTTTGTCATGACATTAAAAATCCCCAAGACCATCTACTATCACTAGCACAAAAGAAAGTGTAATTTGCCCGGCCAGCGTGGGGAGGTCACGGTTCGATTCCCAGTCAGGCACATTCCGGGGTTTTGGGCTTGATTCCCAGTGTGGGGTGTAAAGGGGGCAATGGATCAATGATTCTCTCTCATCACTGATTTTTCTATCTCTCTCTCCTTCTCCCTTCCTCTCTGAAATCAATTAAAAAAATATTTTTTAAAAAAGTGTACCTTAACACTAACAAAATTACAGAAGTATAATTTGATATTTAAAAAAATCAGAAATTTTAAAGTTAATACATTTAGAGATCAGCAATTTTCAACCGATGTGCTACAAGAATTTTTAAAACATACAATACTTATTTAGTCAGGGGCACTGACCTATTTTCCTTTAGATTGTCAAATAAACAAAATGACAATGGGCAACACAACAATAGCCATCCAGTGTGAATGCCCTGTCTTGAACCATATATATAGGTCATACAATAGAGCTGCATCTTATTGGTCACATTGCTAATAAGGTTGCATGTGATTGGTTAATTCTTGGTACTAGAAATCTTTATATACAAGTATAGGCACCTGATTTTTTTTAAAGGTCACTTTGGAGCAAAAAGGGCAGGTAATTACTACTATTATTTTCTTTTGTAAGTCAATCAAAATTATACCTATGGAAGGGAGGGGCGTCAGACTGGCAAAATACGTATTTTTTTGGTGTGCCGCAGTATTTTAGTAATTTATGTGCACCATGAGATGAAAAGGGTTGAAAATCACAGCATTTATATCATAAGAAATTTTCTTATTTCTTTCATCATGGACCAATGAAAACTTAGTCCTAAAACTAGCCTGTGTGAACCACTGATTGAGTCCAATGTCCTTGTGCCCCAAAGACGGCGCCCCTGGGTGCAGGGTGACTCCCCTGAGGTCATTCAGTGGGGTGTGGCAGAACGGGGACCAGACCTTGAAACCCCAGAATTCTAAGCTAACGCTTGCCAGGTGATCTAAAGGTTCCAGAACTTCGATAGACCGAATGGAGGCAGACCTAAACTAAGGCTCTCACCACTGACTACAGGTGTGGCTGTGGGCAAGCCTCGGTCTCCCCATTTGGAAACAGGCTTATCCATAATTGAGTGCCTCACTTACACAGTCTATCTGGGGGTTTTCTGGAAACTCCCGGCAGCAGATCAGTTGGGTGCAGAAAGAAGCAGCTGGCTGTTACTGGTCCCAGCACTGGCTTGACTCTCCAGAGACCTGGGATCCCTAGGGGTGTTGGGAGTCACAACCCACCCACAGTCACCACCATGGGAGGTTACAATAGGACCGTGGACAGCAATGCCCTTTGCAAACTGTTAAGGTTTAGTTCCCAGCCTGGGTATTCAGAAGCAAAATAATGAAGAATGAAGCAATGCGTAACTAAATGTCTAGAACAAAGGTGAGTAATGCTGTGGCACTCATATCTCCTGCAGTGTCTGACAGAAGCTGGCATGCTGTCTTTGAGAGGGCAGGCACCCCCAAACTGATGCAAAGCCCTATTCCATCCACCACACGCCCCCAAACTGATGCAAAGCCCTATTCCATCCACCACACCTCCATCTGCAGCCTGAGCTGCCACTCAGGGTGCAGGGGGACAGTCTCTTGCAAAAGATCTTTTTCTCCTCATGGCTCCAAGGCTGTGGTCTAGCCATCAGCCTAATTAGGAACCGGCTCCTTAATTGCAAATAA